CTTCGTTGGAGATACGTAAATTACGAGCAGGTGCAGCCGTCAAATGCCCAACGGGGGGTAAGAGGACCCCTTGCAATGCCACCACCGAAGAATGCCTCTATGATATTCGCCAGGATCCTTGTGAGCAAAATAATTTGGCACCCCTACCCGAATATGGGAATGTTTTAAAGGAATTGCGTAAGAGCGTAGAGCGACTGCGCCGAACAGCTCTGCCGCCAAAGACTGGAGGTAGTCAATGGTCTTATGATCCAGGGTATCATGATTGTACTTGGTCCAATTTTCTGGAGGATAAACCAACTGAGAGTAAGTACCACATATCCTCTTTCTTTGTTGGGGAAAATTTAATTATTTTTTTCTCTCTCTCTCTTCCTTTGCAGCTATGTTACAGTGCAGTTATGATACGTTACCCTGTTAAAATATCTAAAGAGAGGCCCCAAGCAAAGAGAGCAACACACATGAAGAGAACACCGTTGAAAGAATAATTGAAGAAATCAAACAAACAGTTTAACGGGCACCAACACCAATATTTCTTAATGACATTATTTGACATATTTTAAAGCATACCCTTAGGCGCCTTGATGTTATGAAGAGAGGTAGTTCATGGTGTAACTAAGAGATGGCGCTGTTCAATGCAAATCCATTTCATTGTTACTATTTTTTAACGAAATAAATTAATTATTTAAAGCGATAAATATTAATCGATAACAAATTTATAATCGATAACAAAATTAATTATAATCAATAAAAAAAGTTAATATATTGGCCGATTTTCGATAGAGAAATTAATTATAGATACATTTTACTTTTAAAAACTGCTTATTATCGATCAAATCTCAGAATCGATAAATTTATTATCGATATATTTTTCTACAGAAAATCGACTAAATGATAACATTTTTCAATGTCAAAATTGTTATCGAGAACTTTTGTTATGGAATAAATAGTTTTTCGATAAATTTTTCTTCGAAAAAAAAACTTGTTATCGAAGCATTTTTCTATTAAATTATCCTGTTATCGATAAGTTTTCTAATTGTATATCGATAGTAACTGTTACTAGAGACAACACACGACATAGAAAAAATTATTTTCGATAAAACAAAGTAATTATCGATATTTTTCTGGAGAAACTGGTTATCGATTAGGTCTGGCAAAACACACTTGTTATCGATAAAATTATTCACTAAAAAAAACGTGTTATTCTACAGAAAACCATGTTATCGATACCATGTTTTAAAGAAAAAACTTCTTATCGATTAGTTTTTCTGCAAATATACTTGCTATCGATAAGTATTTGTAAAATAAATCGTATTATCGATAAAGTTTTCTTCGAGAAAACTTGTTATCGATATTTTTGTTTTACAAAAGATTTATTATCGATAAGTTTTTGTGTAGGAATACATGTTATCGATAGTATATTTGTGCAGAAAATCTAATTATCGACAACATTTCCTAAGGGATTTATCATTATCGAAAACATTTGGATCGAAAATGTTAACATCGATAACATATTCTATAGAAAACTTTATTATCGATAGTATTTTTCTATAAAAATGTCTTTATCGATTACATTTTCCATGGAAAATTTTATTATTGATACCATTTTCCATTGAAAATGTTTACTATCGATGACATTTTCCGTAGCAAATTTTATTATCGATGACATTTTCCGCAGAAAATGTTATTATCGATAACATTTTTCCATAGAAGATGTAATTATCGATAATCTTTTTCATAGAAAATTTTATTATCGATAACGTTTTCCATAGCAAATGTTATTATCGATAACATTTTGTAAGGAAACTTTTATTATCGATAACATTTCCAAAAGAAAATGTTATTATCGATAACATTTTCAATAGAAAATTTTATTATCGATAACATTTTCCATAGAAAATGTTATTATCGATAACATTTGCCATAGAAAATGTTATTATCGTTACCATTTTCAATAGAAAATGTTATTATCGATAACATTTTCAATAAAAAATGTTATTATCGATACCATTTAATGTGGAAAATTGTATTATCGATAACATTTTTAATCCCAAAAGTTATTATCGTTAACATTTGATTAAGAATATGTTATTATCGATAACTTAAATTATTGAAAGTGTTGTAATCAATAACATTTGCCGTATAAAAAGTTACTGTCTATGACTTGTTCTACGATATCGATAACTTTTTGTATTGAAAATCTTGTTATCGATAACTTTTGTTATCTGAAAATTTGTTATCGATAACTTTTGTTGTCAGAACACTTGTTATCGATAAATTTTGTTATCAGAACACTTGTTATCGATAACTTTTGTTATCAGAACACTTGTTATCGATAACTTTTGTTATCAGAAAACTTGTTATCGATAATTTTTGTTAGCAGAAAACTTGTTATCGATAACTTTTGTTACCAAACGGCTTGTTATCGATAACTTTTGTTATCAAAAGGCTTGTTATCGATAACTTTTGTTATCAGATAACTTGTTATCGATAACTTTTGTTATCAGTAAACTTGTTATCGAAAACTTTTGTTATAAGAAAACTTGTTATCGATTACTTACTCATGGGAAAAACTTATGGAAAATTAAAAAAAAAATTAAATTAATAATCGATTTAATATTAATCGTATATATATAAATTGTCTTTTATTATTTTTTCGCTCTAAAAAATAATTAAGTAACTAATTACTAACGGTAATTTTATTTCGATACTTAAACAACTACTAAATTCAAAAATCTAAATTCTTTGTACATTAAACTACAAATTAAACGAAATAACACGCACACTACTGCACACCCAATCGGTGTGCATAATACATACAAACAAACAAAAATCTATGGAAGACCTTAAAATCGATATAAAACTATTGACTATTTGCTCTCCTCTCACTTCTCCGGAAGGTTATCCCCTCAATGAGAAGTTACCACGATATACTTCTCACAGCCGCTGGCAAGGCACAAATTGCATTGTGGACCGGTATCGATAGGAATCCAGCTAGGGCAATACCATAGGAATCTGATTGCACCACCATAGCCATGGCAAATTGTCGACGGCCAGGTGGTATCTCCTTGGACATACGATAGAAGGTATTAACATAGGCACCACCACCCAGCAAACCTTCCCACAGGACAATCACGAATGTTATCCAAATACTAGGAGTATAAAAGTAGATGACCTCTGTCAAGAAGTACACCACATTGACGAATTGGAAAACGGACATCAACCATATCTTATTCAATTGGAACACGTTAACCGAGGAGCGGGATATGAAGACGCCGATTTGATAGTCCACATTCAACCAACGATATTGGGCAGCCTTGTCCAGGAAGGTGTCCTTGAAGTAGACCAATTCGAACTGAAGAAAAAAGGAATATAAAATTAAAATCCATCCGAATCTCAATATCCTTTTCCCCGACTTACCAATCCCTGATTAATGAAATACTCAAAGAAGTAGACCAAGGCCAAGGGAACCATATATTTCACCAGCTGTTTAATGTAGATCAATTTCTCCTTGAAACCTTCTAGAGGACGATCATCGACAATGAGTTCTTCGGTTGATTCAACATTGGTGACGGGTAAAACGGCGGTGGGTTTCCTCAACAGTACCCAAAATGAAAGGGCCTCAATGACGGGGAAGACTAACATAATTAACATGGTATCGCGAGGGCTGACATCTAGGGAACGCAGGGTAGCATAGGAGAGGGAACCAATGACACCGGCACCACCCGTACCAGAGGACCAGGTGGAGACAACGTTTCTGCAACAAGAAGAGAAGAAATTAGGATGGTTAAAAAAAGAAAATCGAAAAAGAATTTTCGATTTTTTTTCGATAAAAATATTGTTATCGAATTTCTCGATAAAAATTTGTTATCGTTAAAAAAATATCGATTTTTTTCCACAAAAAATATCTATTTTTTCCACAAAAAATATCGATTTTGTCAATAAAAAAATATCAATTTCTTTCAATAAAAAATTATCGATTTTTTTTAATAAAAAAATGATCGATTTGAGTATTTCATCGATTATCGATTTTTTTCAATAAAAAATTACCAATTTTTTTCAATAAAAAATGTATCGATTAAAAAAATTATTGATTTTTTTTTTAAAATTATCGATTTTTTTAATTAAAAAAATTATCGATTTTTTTCAATAAAAAATTTATCGATTTTTTTCAATAAAAAAATTACCAATTTTTTAATAAAAAAATTATCGATTTTTCTATAAAAAATATCGAGTTTTTTCATAAAAAAATAATGTTTTTTTCATTAAAAAAATTATCGATTTTTTCACTAAAAAATTATCGATTTTTTCTAAAAAAAATTATCGGTTTTTTTCAATAAAAAATTATCAATTTTATTTCAATAAAAAAATTATTGATTTTTTCAATAAAAAATTTGATAAAAAAATTTTTGATTTTTTTTTTCAATAAAAAAATATTGATTTTTTTTCGATAAAAAAAATATGGATTGTTTTTTAATAAAAAAGTATGGATTTAAAAAAAAAATCGGTTTAAGAAAAATAAATTTTTTTCAATAAAAAAAATTATCGACTTTTATTCAATAAAAATCCATTTTCAATAGAATAGATATTTATCGGACATTATTTCTGCACAAAAAATTTTTATCGAATGCTTTTCTATGACAACAACAGTTATCGAAGCAAATTTCAGTAGTTATCGATAAATAATCCTTCTGAAAATCGATAGAAAATATTATTATCGGACACATTTTCAACTTTAAAAGTGTTATCGAAATTTTTCTTTATTGTTATCGATCAATTTTTCGATGCAAAATGCTGTTATCCGACAAATATTCGATAAAAACGCTGTTATCGAAAAACTTGTAGATAGAAAATGTTGTTATCGAACTACTTTTCTACAGAATATGTGGTTATCGAACACAATATTAATAGAAAATGTTGTTATCGATCAATATTTATATGTAAATAGTTGAAATCGAACTACTTTTTGATAGAAAAAGTGGTTTATCGAACAACTTTTTCATAGAAAATTTAGTTATCGTTCAACTTTGATATAAAAAAATCGTGCTATCGATCAACTTTTCAATAGAAAATGTTGTTATCGAAACCTTTTTTGATAAAAGATGTTGTTATCGAACAGCATTTCGATAGAAAATCCTGTTATCGAAACATTTTTTGATAGAAAATGATGTTATCGAATAACTTTTCGATAGGTAATGTTGTTATCGAACAATTTGTCGGCAAAAAATTTTGTTATCGAACAATAAAATGTGGTTATCGAACAACATTTCGGTGAAATATGCTGTTATCGATCAACTTTTCGTTAGAAAACGCGGCTATCGATTAACAGTCCGATAATAAATGAGCAACTATTAATAAAGAAAAGCTTGTTATCGAACGATTTTATGACAGAAAATGTTGTTATCGAAATCCTTTTTGATAGAAAATGTTGTTATCGGACAACATGTCGATAGAAAATGTCGTTATCGAACCAGTTTTGAATAGAAAAAGTTGTTATCGAAACATTTTTTTGATAGAAGATATTGTTCTCAAAACAATTTTCAGCTAAAATCGTTGTTATCGGAAAGCTCAAAAATATTAGGTATCGAAAACATTTTTTTCCTAAAAAAGTAATTATCGAAGAAATTTTTATCTTAAATAAAATACTTATCGAAACAAATTTCTTAACTTATCGACACAAATTGTTTAGACTTATCGATATTTTTACTTACTTATTAAAATTCGATGAATACGCCAAGAAGGTGGTCTCTCCAATACCCGAACTAGCCGATGTGATAATCACACCCAGCAGAGCCATCCATTCGGCTGAGGCAAAACCGACCAAAAGGAAACCGGCAGCGGAGAATATCACAGCCAAGGCAATACGGAAACTATGGACGAAATAAAAATGAATTATCTGTCTTAAAGGCAAGGAACTTCTTCAACTTACTGCACCCAAAAGGGAAAGAAGGGCATAATGATTTTCACAAACAAGGAGGGTAAAATATCGGCCAAAAGAATAGCACCCGTTGAGACAATATGACACTCACGTCCATTGCCGCTGACATCGTTATCCGAGGGGGTATCCTAAGAGAGGGAAAATGATTAATTACTTCACTGATTACTTAGGTGGTTCTATGTCATTACTTACCGCATGAAATTGCCCAATAATATCATGAGCGGCACTCAACATCACAACATAGCCGTAGTTGTTGCAGAGACCCAATATCCAGTAGGAGGTCAAATCACGCCATAGACTTTTATCTTTGCGCAGATTGTGAGGTTCGACGGGTGCCGCCACAACTACCTCTTTTGTGGTAGGATTCGAAGACATGGTGAAACGGGGGGATAGTTATTTACTAGGGGGAAGGAAAAAATTAAAATGGTTAGAGGCAATTAAAAAATATTAAAAAATTACAAATATTTTTTATTAAAAAAAATCTTATTTAAAAAATAAATATCTATATATAAAAATTTTTCAGGGACCCCCAAATCCCCATTTTTGGGAATTTTAATCCAAAAAAATAAAAATTAATACTAGGAAGAACTAAAACGTTAATTATAAATTCCGAACACACCCCTTTAGCCGCCATGACCTTAGTGCCAGTGACCGACAAAAAAACTTTATTCGCTTTGCCGGCTATCGAATTTGGCAGCCATCCGATAGCTTCCGTTTGAAGTGACATTCAATTTTTTTTTACATTTCGATTAGCAGGTGGTTGTGGTGGTGGGAAGAAATCGAAAACAAAACAAAAACGCATTTGCATTTTTAATGGCGATAATTAGACATTTTCTAATTTTTATTTTCAACTTTTTTTTGTAGTCAATTATTGTTTTATTTGTTGTTGTTATTAAAAAAAATACAAAAAAGTATTCCCAACTTATTTTGCTATCAATATTCAAATCAGGTTTAACAGCAGTGCTTCATTTTTTTGCTAGCCAGAAGGTCGTTTCAATACCAATTTTTGCTAGCCATATTGTTGTTGTTTATTTTTTTCAAAATTTCTCAGAAACCGAGAAATTGGTATTGGAATTTAAAAAAAAAAAAAAAAAGTCAACAATTTTTTTTGAATTATTTGGTAGAGGGAATTTTGAATACAAAATTTATGCGGATTTTTATTTATTTTTTTTTTTTAATTTAGATTGAACATTTCGATGAACCATTAGCACAGCCGGTGCATCAATACCAAGCGCCTTCCTGCAGTGTGACTCATAAACGCTCCATGGGTAAATTTACTTAAACAACATAGGATCCGATCGTCTTCAAGTACCCCACTTGAAACCCACATAAATCTCCTTTATCACAGCCCAAACACTTTTCTGCAGGTTGGCTATACACGAAGACCACAAAGTACGGTCCTTTTTTAAACGCATCACAAGCAAATCTACTTAAACAACGAAGGATCCGATCCGCCTTCAATTATCATACTGTAATCCAATCTCGCCGCTCTATTCGTTATAGTCCAGGCTTCTGTCATTCCACAACACTACATAAATTCGTCTTGGATGTATTTGTATTTTTGTTCCAGCTCATACCCTTTCTTGCAGGGTAACAACGTACGAATATCACCTCTACTAAGTACTGGACTTTTTCTAAACACTTCACTAGCAAATGTAGGTAAACAACCAAGGATTCGATCCACCTTCAAGAACATTTTATGTTTATATGCTTCCAGTCTTCTGTCATCTCATACCGGCATAAATCCGTCTGAGAAAGGTCACTTTTATTCCCGGCCAAAAGCTTTTCTACAGGATTACAAATCTATGAAAACCACCTTCACTGAGCACTGAAATCTACTCAACACGTCACGAGCAAATTTACTTAAACAGTTATGAATCCGATCGGTATCAATCAAGTACCCCACTGAATTGTCATCCATTCTCTAATTTCACAAATCGAAATCTCTAATCGAACAAATCTACTTAAACAACTAAGGATCGGATCATATTCAAGTACTCTACTCCAGCCAAAACACGTTCCTGCTGGATGACTATGTACGATGACCACCTTCACTAAGTACAGCCCGTCTCTATAACACTTCACGATCAAATATAAATGATCCTTAAAATAACTAAAGATCCGATTGTCTTCAAGTACTCCACTGAAATTCCAACCGACCCTAAATATTTTACTAAATTTCTAATATCATTATAGTGGCAGGATGCCGTCAGTATATGCTTCCTATCTTTTGGGAAATTGACTCTTTTATTCCAGCCATAACGAGTTCCCTAAATGCTGAACTTCTCTTAAACGCTTCACAAATCTACATCATCAAGTATGGATTCGATAGTTTTCGGGTTTCCTACTGAAATCCAATCCCGATCCTATTTTCCTATTTATACCCACACTTCGTAATCTCCAATATCTTCTGTCACCTTTCACTCACATAAATCCCTCGGCGACAGACTTCTCCTTCCCAAAAGTGCATTCAGAGAGAGAGAGAGAGAGAGCTAAGCCCTGAAAGAAGTAAACCAGTATTTAAGGCGAAGCGAAAATCTGGCCGGTCCAGTACAAACGCTGCGCCATACATAAATTCGCACGACATCCTTCCTTTTTCTATATGGCCTTTTATCTAGTCCTCCACCAACCACAACCACACACAGCTGAAGAATTTCTATCTACCGCATATTACCCACATCAAACATATCTGAAGGCTTCTAAGCCAATAATCTCTATTCGAATGCAAACTGGCTTTGTATCATACATATGATCTATAAATCTCTAATGTCATTACAGTAACATCATTCCACCATTATATGCTTCCAATCTTCTGTCATCCTGCTCCTACACAAATCCGACTGAGACAAGACGTTTTTATACAAGAATTCATATCAATATAAAACCAGTACTTAAAAAGAAGCGGTGGTTCTGTACATCATCCGTTCTATGTTCGTTTGACCAACTATCTAGTCCCCCGATTATCCTGAAGAATTGTACTGTACCGCATATTATCCCCATCCACCATATCTGATGGTATTTGAGCCAATACTTTTCATCCGATTGCAAATCACCCTTAGGATTGTACTTGATAGCCCTACATCTCACTTCAAGAATGCAATCACGCATAAACTCGATAGTTCACAAAACACGCTTGACGCTAGCGGCCTCTATTTCAGCCTATATTTCAACCTACTGCAAGGAAATTCATTCTCTCGGACATAGTTATTCCCAAAAAAGAAAATACGGTACTAACATGACAACACACTGCCACAAAAAAAGCTTCTTGTGATCTCAAAACGCACCTTATGATTGCACAAGCCTCAATTAGTCAGCCTCTATTTCGGCTGATCAAATTGTACTGCAAGGAAATTTATTCCTTCGGATATTCCCAGATACCTTACATTACTAACATCACGACCTGCAGACACGAAAGGAGTTTCTTCTGATCAACACAATCGCACAGGTGTTGTACCATACAGGTGAACCAGCGACCGTTGTCAACCGATCGAAGTGTACTACAAGGAATTTCCTTCTCTCGGACATAGTTGCTCGCCGATACCTTTGGGTACTAGTATACCTAATGCGCTACGCTTACCAGCTCGAATGAAGGTAGGGCGGCTGTGCGCATTAGCACCTTTTTTCGGTTAACATCTCCACTCCAAATCAATAACTCCAGGTATACACTATCACCACAATTTTCTATTTCAAGATAACGATCTCCTCCCTTCTATGCCTACAATAGCTCTTGACAAAAAAACAGCAGTTTCTTTAATGCAAGCCTACAAAAGCCCTTTTTATACCCTCCACCATAGTATGGAGGGTATATTAATTTTGTCATTCCGTTTGTAACACATCGAAATATTCATTTCCGACCCTATAAAGTATATATATTCTTGATCAGGGTAAAATTCTAAGACGATCTAGCCATGTCCGTCCGTCTGTTGTAATCACGCTATCTTCTGAAGGAATTGAGATAGGGTGCTGAAATTTTGCACAAAGTTGTCTTTTGTCTGCAGGCAGGTCAAGTTCGAAGATGGGATATATCGGTCCACGTTTAGGCATAGCTCCCATATAAGGGTACCCCCCAATTTTCGGTATTTTGAGGTTCCTGAGCGTGTTTTTCAACCGAATTTGCTGAAATTTGGTACTTTGAGCTCTTATTGGGAAGCAAATCTCCCTACTAAAAATTATAAATATAGGTCAATTTTTTCTGGTACCCCCCATATAACGGTACCCCCAATTTTCGGAATTTTAAGGTTCTTGAGCGCGGTTTTCAACCAAATTCGCTGAAATTTGGTACTTTGAGCTCTTGTTGGGAAGCAAATCTCCCTACTAAAAATTATAAATATAGGTCAATTTTTTCTGGTACCCCCCATATAACGGTACCCCCAATTTTCGGAATTTTAAGGTTCTTGAGCGCGGTTTTCAACCGAATTCGCTGAAATTTGGCACATTGGGTTCTTAATAGGTTCCAAATCTCTCCACCAAAAATTATGAATCTAGGTCAATTCTTTCGGATAGCCCCCATATAAGAATACCCCCAATTTTTGGTATTTGGGGGTTCTTGAGCGCATTTTTCAACCGAATTTGCTGCAATTTGGTAATTTGTAGTCGTATATGGTAACAAATCTCTCTACCAAAAATGTTTAATATTCGCTATATAACCCCCTTTTTTATATTAAAATAGTTATCTGATTTGTTCCGCGTTTTGAGTTTGGTTGTAAGACTCTAGTGTAATCATTTCACCTGCGGAGGATAGAGAGATAAACAATTAGAACGTAAGGTTCGATAATGAACTATAGCCGCATTTAGATCTAGCCCCTATGTGGAGGTTTCAGAAGAAGTGGACCGATATTCTCCATCTTCGATTTTGAATTATCAATTATAATTTTCTGAAATTTGTATTATGGTTTACATTATGGTATACATAATCCGTTTTTAGACATGTCGGTATAGGTCCACTTTTTGGTATGCCCCCTTTATTTTCATTTCTAGTACCTGTCAGTATATCCATGGTGGAGGGTATCCAAAGTTCGGCCCGGCCGAACTTAACGCTTTTTCACTTGTTACATTTTATATCATTCTAAATCCGCTCCGATGGTTGCCCTGTTGAAAACAATATTTTTTGAAAAATAACTTCGAACTTTTTTCTGCCCTTTGAGTTCTGATAATTAAATTCCCCTTTTCCTTTCCCAATCTGAATCTATTGAATCCTCTCCCCTTATAAGTGATTTCCTCACATTTATTTATATTTTTTAACTGCAATTACCAGCTATTGAAATGCTTGAGGTAACAACAATAACAAAAAAAAATACTAATAATAATATTTACAAACAAAACTAAATAAAACAATAAAATTGTTGTCTTGTTGAATTATCCAATTAGCACTTTAA